AAGAACATAAAAAAAATGTAGGATGTTGGAAAATAACATTGTCTTTTCTGTTAACCAAATGCTTTTTAATATTCGCTATTGCTTCAATGCAAATGAACAAGCGCAATGCTATTTGTTGCGTAGTGACGTGTGTGTTCAAGCAAGCCATGTGCACAGATTCTGCGCAATACTTTGTATCAATATTTAATAGATCATGATGACCCACGAGTTGAGTATTTGCGCTAAATCTGGGCAGATTTGGCTTATGCGAACCTTCCCAGCAAAGTGAATAACATGATAAACACACCAAATTGGCTAGTGATTTGATAGCGTTACCCGCCACAGCTGATTTTTACCCGCATTTGGTGGGTTGGCGGGTGTTAAAGGGTTAGTTCACCCAAAAATGATGTCATTAATGACTCGCCCTCATGTCGTTCCAAGCCCGTCAGACCTCCGTTCATCTTCAGAACACAGTTTAAGATATTTCAGATTTAGTCCGAGAGCTTTCTGTCCCTCCATTGGAAATGTATGTACGGTATACTGTCCTTGTCCAGAAAGGAAATAAAGACATCATCAAAGTAGTCCATGTGACATCAGTGGGTTAGTTAGAGTGTGTTGAAGCATCGAAAATACATTTTGGTCCAAAAATAACAAAAACTATGACTTTATTCAGCATTGTATTGTGTTCCGGTTCTGTTGTGGATCCGCGTTCAGTGCCGCCGCTGACGTAAGACGCTGCTGACGTGTGTCTGGTGTGTGTGTGTGTGTGTATTCTGGTTCTGTTGTGGATCCGCGTTCAGTGCCGCCGCTGACGTAAGACGCTGCTGACGTGTGTCTGGTGTGTGTGTGTGTGTGTGTATTCCGGTTCTGTTGTGGATCCGCGTTCAGTGCCGCCGCTGACGTAAGACGCTGCTGACGTGTGTCTGGTGTGTGTGTGTGTGTGTGTGTGTGTGTATTCTGGTTCTGTTGTGGATCCGCGTTCAGTGCCGCCGCTGACGTAAGACGCTGCTGACATGTGTCTGGTGTGTGTGTGTGTGTGTGTGTGTATTCTGGTTCTGTTGTGGATCCGCGTTCAGTGCCGCTGCTGACGTAAGACGCTGCTGACGTGTGTCTGGTGTGTGTGTGTGTGTGTGTGTGTATTCTGGTTCTGTTGTGGATCCGCGTTCAGTGCCGCTGCTGACGTAAGACGCTGCTGACGTGTGTCTGGTGTGTGTGTGTGTGTGTGTGTGTATTCTGGTTCTGTTGTGGATCCGCGTTCAGTGCCGCTGCTGACGTGTGTCTGGTGTGTGTGTGTGTGTGTGTGTATTCTGGTTCTGTTGTGGATCCGCGTTCAGTGCCGCCGCTGACGTAAGACGCTGCTGACGTGTGTCTGGTGTGTGTGTGTGTGTGTGTGTGTATTCTGGTTCTGTTGTGGATCCGCGTTCAGTGCCGCTGCTGACGTAAGACGCTGCTGACGTGTGTCTGGTGTGTGTGTGTGTGTGTGTGTGTATATTCTGGTTCTGTTGTGGATCCGCGTTCAGTGCCGCTGCTGACGTGTGTCTGGTGTGTGTGTGTGTGTGTGTGTATTCTGGTTCTGTTGTGGATCCGCGTTCAGTGCCGCCGCTGACGTAAGACGCTGCTGACGTGTGTCTGGTGTGTGTGTGTGTGTGTGTGTGTATTATGGTTCTGTTGTGGATCCGCGTTCAGTGCCGCCGCTGACGTAAGACGCTGCTGACGTGTGCCTGGTGTGTGTGTGTGTGTGTGTGTATTCTGGTTCTGTTGTGGATCCGCGTTCAGTGCCGCCGCTGACGTAAGACGCTGCTGACGTGTGTCTGGTGTGTGTGTGTGTGTGTGTGTGTGTGTGTGTGTGTGTGTCTGGTGCGCCTGTGTATTCGGGTTCAAATAAATATGGCTGGGCAAAAAAATGCAAGTCTTCCTCTGTGTGGAAATCCTTAGACATGTTTGTGAAGATTGTTGTGTTTCCAAACGAAGCTCGGGCGCACCAGACACACGTCAGCAGCGTCTTACGTCACACACACACACACACACACACACACACACAAGTCAGCAGCGTCTTACGTCAGCGGCAGCACTGAACGCAGATCCACAACAGAACCAGAATACACACACACACACACACACACACACCAGACACACCAGACACACGTCAGCAGCGTCTTACGTCAGCGGCGGCACTGAACGCGGATCCACAACAGAACCGGAAGACAATACAATGCTGAATAAAGGCCTAGTTTTTGTTATTTTTGGACCAAAATGTATTTTCGATGCTTCAACACACTCTAACTAACCCACTGATGTCACATGGACTACTTTGATGATGTCTTTATTTCCTTTCTGGACAAGGACAGTATACCGTACATACATCGGACTAAATCTAAAATATCTTAAACTGTGTACCGAAGATGAACGGAGGTCTTACGGGCTTGGAACGACATGAGGGCGAGTCATTAGTGACATAATTTTCATTTTTGGGTGAACTAACCCTTTAATTTCAAACCCTGTGTGTCTCTTTAAACTGACAGGGCTTTGAGGACCTTCATTCCCATCACCACTAACAGAGCCATTCGTCTGTCTGGCATGAGTCCGGTTCATTCTGCGGCGGACGGAGGTCACGCCGACTGTCTCGAGCTGCTCATCGAACAAGACTTTGACGTCAACTCAATCTTAGGCTGCCATATTTCAGAAAACTACGGTGACATGAGGAAGACCCCACTGTACTTCGCCATCTGTAATGGAGACGTCACCTGCGCTGAGATGCTTCTGAAAGCAGGAGCCAAACCGGACCTGGACCCTCTGCGAAGCCTCCTGGTGGCGGTCAGAGCTGGGAAACACGAGTTGGTGCGACTGCTTCTCGCTTATGGAGCGAACGTCAACTGCGTCTTCTCTGTCGTCAGTGACACTGTATTTCCCACGGCACTGCAATACTGCCTCAAAGATGAGATGATGCTGCGTCTGCTCCTCAACAATGGTTACAATGCAGAAAGCTGCTTTGAGTGTCATCATGACAACCCTGTAATGACATACACATGGAGAGAGTATTACAGCCAGACATACCAAATCAAGAGCGTCACAAACAAAGTGACCGTAAGCATCACATTTGGGGGCTAGAATGCAATGGAGTGGATTCACTAAACAATCGCACCACTTCTGCATGCATCAAAACCTGCGTCTTATTCACTAACCACCTGAAAACCAGCTTATCCAGACGCTACTTGTGCTGGTAAAGCCATTTAAAACACCTCAAATCTGCGTATATTAGGTTTATTATAGAATTGCTGCAATTAATGTGATCAATACAACAATAGGTTGCAATTTATTCTTAGGGTGTGTTCACAGTTGGCATGTTTGGTTGGATTAAAAACGAACTCTGGTGCGTTTGCTCTGTTAGTGCGGTTCATTTTGACTAACTCTGGTGCCACCAAACAAGCGGACCGAGACCGTACCGCTGAAAAGATGAGTCTCGATCCACTTCCAAACAAACTCTGGGGTGGATCGAATGAAATATAAACGCAAGACGTAATGAACACATGTAAACGAACCAAAAACAAGACAAGACGTCACAAGATGCGACCAAAATACCATCATATTTAGGCTACGCGCATACAGCGAGCGCATACACAGCATTGTTCTGGATGCTCAGTAAGTTCCATCGTGAAATATACATCATAAAAGCTGAACAATCAGGTTGCGAACGTATCCCTTTGCCTTTAGGTTCGGTGTTAAAATGGCAATGTGAATGCTAAGCAGACCAGACCAAACGAACCAAACTAAGTGTGAACACCCTTAGTGAAGTCATATCAAGAGCAATCTGAACAAAGTGACTAAAGCATCAGATTTGGGGTCTAGAAACCAATGATCTGGATTCATTAAAATAGCACTACTTCTGCATGCATTGTATTATAGAATGCATGGTTTAATTTTTTTATAGATATGTAAATTAATGCATCTTATTGTGATCACTGCAACAAGAGGTTGAAATTCATCCTTAGTGAATTCCCCCAAATATTACATTTCTGTATTTACATGTGGCCTAATTATGCACTCTGCCCTGCATGTGTTTTCAAGTTTTGCGAGTTCATTAGCGTGTCGTGGATGGCACACTTGGCTGGAAAGGTGGTGCAAACACTCCTGGATTACGTGAATCACGTGCACATCTGCTCTAAACTGCAATGCATTCTGGAGAAACAGGAGGAGTGGCCCAACATCTGTGACTCCTTCAGTAAGACACTTCTGTTCACCATTCATGTCTAACCTGTATGAAACACAAAAGATATCCATTTCTTAATGTCTGTTTGGTGCTAGGGAACCCACAGCCTCTGAAACACCAGGCCAGGTTGGTTATCAGGAGACACATGACACTGAGAAGACTGAATGACCCAGAGTTCATGAGGACCGTTACTTTCCCCCCGACACTGAAGAACTTCCTACTCTACAAAGAATATGATGTCTATGGGCGAATGGATGAACACTAGATATACATCTATATGCATTTTATTCCAATTTGCTTTATTAATAATATCATTGTGATTGTATAATTACATTGCTCACAAAAGATGAGAGCATGTGCAGGTCAAATTTCAACCTGAAACCATAATAATAAATAAATATAGTAATGAGAATGTGTTTGATTTTACAATTAAAATGTTTTTTTTTTTCTTATGGTCCTACTCCTAATTATAGGCATAATTTATTTTATGCAAAATATGCACCTTTGCTTTTGATTTTGGAGTGAAACTTGACCTGGACATGATGTAAAGGTATGTGTAAATACATGCTACGTTAAATATATCACCGACAATCATTGTTATTGTATCATTTCATTGCTCACAAAAGATGAAAGCATGTGCAGGTCAAATTTCTACGGAAGCGTATTGCATTTAATTATCTCACAATTACGAGATAATTTTTCATGGAAAAAAAGTTTTTGCTCTGTTTTTTTTTTTATTAACGAGTTAATTATCTCAGAATTACGAGATAAACTTTTTGTCCATGAAAAATTTTGCTCCGTTTTTCTAAATTAACGAGTTAATTATCTCAAAATTCCGAGATAATTTTTCATGGAAAAAAGTTTTTGCTCTGTTTTTCTGAATTAATGACTTGATTATCTCAAAATTATGAGTAACTCATTAATTTATAAAAACAGAATGAAAAACTGTTTTTCAAGAAAAATGTATCTCATAATTCTGAGATAATTAACTCGTTAATTCAGAAAAACAGAGCAAAAACTTTTTTCCATGAAAAATTATCTCGTAATTCTGAGATAATTAACTCGTTAATTCAGAAAAACAGAGTAGATTTTTTTTCTTCAAGTGAATACAATACGCTTCCGTAAATTTCAACCTGAAACCATAATAATAAATAAATATAGTAATGAGAATGTGTTTGATTTTACAATTAAAATGTTTTTTTTTTTTTTATGGCCCTACTCCTAATTATAGGCATAATTTATTTTATGCAAAATATGCACCTTTGCTTTTGGAGTGAAACTTGACCTGGACATGATTTACTCTAAATAGTCAGCAGAGAGTAAATATGTGCCACGTTAAATACATCACTTACTCTAGAAACAGTTTGAGGGTAACTGACATTGGATTTTTATCACATGCTAAAAATTGCATTATGTTTCTTAAACCATAAGAGCATACATTTCAAATTTCACCAACATTCATACTGGACCTAATCCAAAAACACTGAGGATTTTACGGAAACTGTTGTTGCTAGAGATCCTTGTTATCGGAGCAACAGCATTCCTGCACTTTCAACGCCAGTCGGCGGCTCCAGAGATGCAGCAGACATTGTGTTCCTGTCATAAACACAGATCTAGCCTTTCGATGATCATATGGGACAACAAACAGCTTATCTGAGCGTTCACACTCAATCCAAATCTGATCATTACACACACACAGGGCTTATGGCCTTCAAAATCCATTCATATCCACACCTTCTTAACCTTTAGCCTCTTTCCAGATTCACTACTTTTTAGGCAAGCTGAGGATTTAACAGTATGACGTATGCTTTGATGAATGCAATAATAAAGCAAATTTTTAATCCTGATTATGACATCGAAAGCGAGACAAACCCAGTAAAAGGCTAAGAGAGAAGAGGATTTTTTAAATCCTCACAATGGTTCATGCCAGACTGATAACAGTTCTTGGGATAATCTGCCCCTCACTATTAGCCAGTGACGTGTTACTTTAGCTTGATGTGGTATTTTTGGCACATATGAAAAAGCTAAAAACACTTAGAGAGTATTCTGGGTAGTCCAATTCAAAACTGAGGATGTCAACAACACAAAAACGGTACCTTTTAATGTTCAAATGTAGCATAATTAGCCCTCTTAAACAGTAAATTAGATTTCATTATCGCACCAGTAAACAGAACCATTCACAATACACTCTCAGAAAAAAAAAAGGTACAAAAGCTGTCACTGTGGTGGTATACCTTTTCAAAAGGTACACTGTTGTACCTAAAGAGTGCATATTAGTCCCTCAAAGGTAAATATTGGTACCAAAAGTGTACATATTAGTACATAAATTATACATATTAGAACCCTTTTGAAGGGTACTGTTCCAGTGACAGCTTTTGTACCTTTTTTCTTTCATTTAAGCGTTTCAAATCTAAGTACGCTGGTAAAAACAACTTGCTAATATAAGGACATTGCCATTTCTCTCTAAGCCATCTCCTCAGAGTCTATCTGCTTATTTTGGACATGAACAATGCAGTCAGCATTTACTGACAGGCCTCGCTGTGGCCATGTTGTGAGCTCACATGCTTTTTCCAGCTCTGTCCGATTGACTCCTGCCTCCCAAAAAAGCAACGACATCATGGGCTGGGGCTTTGTTTAAGACCCCTCCAGCTGCCCACCACAGTAGACGAGCGCTCACTCTCAATTGCACCACTCATCCCATCCCAGATCCCAGACCACTCGAAAGATCTGATGTACCAACACTGAGACAAAACCAGGACTTTCAGACTTTAAACAGACTATCCCAAGAGGCCATGAGTACATTTGGCTACCGACGGGAACTGAGTAAGTACGAGGATTTGGATGAAGATGAGTTGTTGGCCTCGTTGACTGCGGAGGAACTTCAGGAGCTGGAGAAGGAGTTGGCTGATATTGACCCAGACGACAATCTTCCCATCGGACTGCGACAGAGAGATCAGACAGCTAAGACTCCCACTGGAACATTCAGCAGGGAAGCTCTGATGAAATACTGGGAAAATGAGACACGGAAACTCTTGGAGGAGGAGAGGATCGGGTCCACAAGCCCTAGACAGGTCAGTGATCCACAACCTCAAACACTAACAGGGGTACAACAGCCTGTCACCCTCAAAAGGAACAAATCTGTACCTTATTTATCCCTAAAGGGTACATTTTGGTACCTTAGTGTAGTAATATGCACCCTTAAGGAAGTAAAATATACTATATTATAGGGGTGTAACAGCACACAGAAGTCACGGTTCGGTAGGTTTTGGGGTCACGGTTCGATACGAGTTTGGTACATTTACATTTAGATTGATGCATGGTAAAATGCAGTGGCTGTTTTCAAAATTATTGGTTTGATTATACATACCTTTATGATCCAGTAAAAGGAGTGATTTGAAAGGGGAAGAGACACCATGGGTCTGGGACTCAAGTTCTCATAATAGCACCAGGACCAATGCTTTTCTAAAAAAAAATGACTTTTTTAATTCCAGAAAGACGAAGACGGCGGAGAAGAGGAAGAAGGTTTAACTGAGAGTGACATTGAAGAATCTGGGGATGAAAAAGACGAGGCTGAAGAAAATGAGAAAGATGCACAGAAATATCGGGATGATGAAGAGGAACAGGAAGAAGAGGAAAGTGAACCGGATGAACCAGTGACAGAAGAAGAGGAGGTGGTGACAGAAGAAGAGGAGGAGGTGGAAGAAGAAGAAGAGGAGGAGGAGGAGGAGGTGGAAGAAGAAGAAGAAATGGAGGAAGAAGAAAATGAAGACAACAGTCCTAAAATAGCAGAGTCACTAGATTGTACTACACATCCACAGCAGTGTTGGTCTTCCAATGGTCAGTCCAATCACAGAATGGCGGAGCCTGAAAGACGACACTCTCCACTGATAGGCGAAACAAAAGTCCAAGTCCAAGAGCCAAGTCGCATGTCAGGAAACCCCACTGTGGTGGACGAGGTTCTGGAAAACATCCTCAACAATGACCCAGATACCACCGAAGTCAACCTCAACAACATTGACAATATCTCCCAAGACACTCTTATCCGATTTGCAGAGGCCTTGCGTTCTAACACACACGTACGTTTCTTTAGCCTGGCCAACACACACGCAGATGACCAGGTGGCTTTTGCCATTGCCAAGATGCTGAGAGAAAACAGCAACATCACGAATCTTAACATTGAATCCAACTTTATTACAGGGAAGGGTATAATGGCACTAGTGCAAGCCCTCACCCGAAACAGTAAACTTACAGAAATGCGATTTCACAACCAACGGCACATTTGTGGAGGTCAGGTGGAAATGGAGATTGTGAAGTTACTGAGGGAGAATACCACTCTGTTAAAGTTGGGATACCAGTTCGATCTTCCAGGCCCTCGTATAAGCATGACGACCATTCTCACCCGCAACCAAGACTTTCAAAGACAGAAGCGAATGCAGGAGATGCGTCAACAGCAAGGAGTTGCAGCGACTCCCACAAACCCAAGAACGGTTGCGCTTCAGAAGAGCACGAACACCTCTTCTCCTTACAACTCTCCTCGAAGTTCACCGTGGTCATCTCCAAAGCTACCACACATTGACATGGCAAAGAAGAACGCTCCACCACCTCCACCCAAAGCCTCAATGCCAGAAAAGAAATCTCCCTCCAGAATGATTGCAGAGGTCATCAAACGGCAAGAGAAGACCTCCAAGAAGCAGCAGCATGGGCCCACCAAATCCAAATCCAAAAAGGGCAAAAACGGCACTGCAAAGCAAACACAGACTAACAGCATATTAAAGGAACTGAAGAACGCACTCAGACCCATCAATGACAGAGAGAGCTCCAGACCGTCCACACCTCTACGCTGCGCTCATGATCAACTCATGGACGCCATCAAAGGAAGTAGCATCAAAAATCTCAGAAGGGTGAGTATCTCCCAAAACATATACCCCTTTTCCCCCAAAGCATTTTGAGATCCGGTCCCTACTCGCGAACCAGTTCTTTGTGTTTCGACAGCCAAAGAACCGGTTCTCGGCCAGTAAAATTGGTTAAAAAAGCGTCACCAACTCTTTGCTGGACTAGAACCGTTCTTTAACCACGTCATGCTTACGTCGAGGGCTGGGGGCGGTGTTATTGTGACCAAAAACACGACGGGAAAGGTTGTGACCGCCATTGCTAAAAACACAGCGCTAGTAGAAAGATAGTACAACGATTGAAGAAAGATGGATTCTAAAGCGAAACAGTGGTCGGTGGAAAAACTAAGACGTATGGCGACGTACACTGTGACGTAACAACGTCGTTCGCTGGGCTCTCTAGTCAGTGGAAAAACAAACAGGTTCTGAGAAGGTTCGCAAGTTGAACCAACTTTTAACCAGCACCATTTCCGAACCAGTTCTTTTTTGGTGGAAACGAGGTGATAGCTTTCTTGTCGTCTTCCTAGGCAGCATCCGAGCTGAAAGGGAATCTCAAATGACTGATTTGTAAAACTCTTATTCAGGCAGTTATGCCAAATACAAAGGTCTTGTTTAAGAAAGTACTCCCTTTAAGCCCAAATAACTCTTGTGAGCATATCATTGTTGCCAGCCACACCTGCTTTATAACAGGTGACGTGTCGCAATCCAAACTATATTAGATACATTCTTTAAAGAATATGGTCACCATGACCTTTGCTGTAACTGAACATTTACCAACGTTTTAGTTTTTTTAGGGGTGCTTTTATTTATTTATTTATAGGAATTAAATAAGGTTACACTTTATATTAAGGTGATGTGGTTAAATTACTCGTACTTAGTAATTTTAATTACCAACATTTACTTCCTATAGAGTTGCAGTTAGGGCTTGGTTTAGGGTTAGTTACTTGTAATTATGCATAATTTATTGAGGTGTAACGATACCCTTGTGTCACGATTCAATACATATCATGATACTGAACTCACTATACGATATTTTTTAGATACTTTAAGATGTATGATAAAAGGTTAATAAAAAATGTAGGCTACTGTTGATTAAAAAGCTAAATTTGGTATTACATTGTGGATGTAAATGAATAGGCTTGGACTTCATATTTCTTATTTTGAAACATGCACATTCTTTCACGTTCATTTATGTCTAATATGTCGAAATATTGGCAATATTGAAATATTGTCTCGTCAAATTCAGTAATGAATTACATGAATCATGTAGGCTAAAGGATAGGATATTTTTAATTCAAAACGGCAGGAAAAAAAGTTGAGTAGTTTGCATCACTGGATATTACGGTCAACATTTCTATCGTAAAATATTAAATGTTTAGCTATTTAAAACTTATCACACACTCGTTCACTGTTAAAACTAAAGGTGTCGTGTTGGAATTCGCACTCATCTTCAGTGAACAGTAGGACCGGCCTTCTTTGATTTGATTGGCTGAGGAAAACCAGCCTAAAAATGTAACTTTTAAATCTTTTTACCAACCTAACAAAAACAGAACGGTGCCTAATGAGTGCAGCAGATAAACATCAAGAATATTAAATATTGGGGGGACAATTTGGACATTTCTAATTATTGGGGCGGACTTCTTTCCCTCTCAGTGTCATCCCAATGAACAAAATGGCAGAAAACAAAACTCAAGCAGCTTCTGTTCACGCAGTGGAAAACTCGGTGTTATCCTCAGACAAGCATCCTGACCCCACACATTCCTCACACTTAGTGCTGCTATGAATAGAAACCATTTTACCCGTCTCGATAAGAAGGCAGATGCCTTGGCGCGGTGGAAAATTAAAACTGTTTGAGTAGACAAAAGAATGAAAAATAGAATACTTGCCTTGGTTTTATTATTGATTGGGCTGGGCAACAATTAATCGCGATTTATCGCATTCAAAATAAAAGTTTGTGTTTACATGTTATATGTATGTACTGTGTATAATTATTTTGTATATATAATTTAAACACACACACACGCCTGTACATATTTAAGAAAAATGTTTTATTATAAAATATTTATATATAAATTATGTATAAATAGTATATAGATGCAAATATTTTATAACAACACATTTTTATTAAATATAGACAGGCATGTGTGTGTATTTATATATACACAAAATAATTATACACAGCACACACACATATATTATGTAAACACAAACTTTTATTTTGGATGCGATTAATCATTGCCCAGCACTAAATATAATAAAAATAGGTCGTGGTAATCTAATTGCTGCTGTGAACAAATATGTATGGCTAACCTTTTGATTGTTCGCAGGTGGAGGTTCCTCAGTATCTCCAGTAAGGACAGCTCCTGAGCATCATCTGCGAACACAGACACTGTGTGCTTTTCTGTTTAATGTTTAAAATAACAGGGTTTTCTGTATTGAGAATGACCTGGATATTTGCACTGTATTCATTTTTTTTTATCACTTGTAGTCATTGAGGCAGTTTGTGCTGTTGTTGTGATTGTACTTTCTTGTTCTTGAATGAAAAAAAATCGACTTTGCCTTGTTAATGATTTTTAACATGATTCATGTCTGTATAAATGTAAATATCTGACTTGGTTTAAAGGATTAAAAATCATCAATTTAATAATTGACTAAAATAATAAGAGCATCGTTATTTCTGCTACACTTAACAGAACTTAACACAAAGGTTGCAAAGGTCAGAAGACTAGCCTTCAGTAAGCAAACGCAGGGCCAAAATGTCTTTGCTGGAATGGGAGAGTATTGGTTGTATGAATATCACAGTCTCTTAATCCGGACCTTGTATGTTTGTTTATTTTGGAAAAGTTCCCGGGGACTAAATCCACTCCGCAGCTGTTCACCGAGAACAGAGAAATGTTTTTAGCATCAGTGAAGGAACGTATCTGAAAGACACATACTTTCCCACAGAAGAATCGTTAAAGGATTAGTAATAAATCCTGTCATTATTACTCACCCTGATGTCCTTCCAAACCTGTAAAGCTTTGAAGCGTCAAAGTAGTTGCATAGACTGTCAATGGAGGGACAGAAATCTCTCAGATTTCATCAATAAGATCTTCATTTGTGTTCCGAAAATGAACGAAAGTCTGGGTTTGGAACGACATGAGGATGAGTAATTTCATTTTTGGGCGAACAACTTCTAACATCATTTCCATGCATATCACAGCATGCAACAGACATTTAAAGCATGGCTAACTTCTATTCACACGAGACGAGACCACAGGGAAAAAATAAAAGCTGCTGAACAGGTTATGAGGGAAGCACAGAAAATATTAAAACATTTACACAATTTAACTCCAATTTTGTCTGCTTAGAGAACATTCTAGCTTTAAATAATTTGCAGGTAAAACGTACCTGACATTAGCACAAGCTAAAACCCTGTAAAACAATATCATTTTGTATGACAGAAATCATTCAGTTGATTTTTATTCTAAATGTCTACCAAATAAATTTAGCGCTCTAAAAATAGAACAAAACAAAATGTCATATGCAATCAGCTGGCTGGCTAAACTCCAGAAATACCATATCAGGCTGTGGGTTTAAACATACAATGTTCCAGTATTTTGTGACTTTTAAATTCCCTCAATCAAGGACATTTTTTGAATCAACTACTTGGAAACTGGATTTGAAGGTTTTAGTCACATTTACTGTATAAGTGAATTGAATAAAAACCACCAAATACATGAAGGTTCTGTAAATAATAACATTTATTTGAGTGTACAATTTTTAATAATTCTTTTTCAACCTCATTTCAAAGGTTTCAAGTCTCGATGCAAAGCAACCCTGGTTGAACGAAGGATAAAAACCGGAAGATATTTTAATTGCTCTATAACACCGTTAAAAACAGTGTGACTAAGTGATACGAGGCACTGCGGGCCGTCAAGCGAGCCGGAGCCCCTCTTTGAATTAGTACAGCATCACAGTGCGTTATTAATAAAACATTGAGAACGTACGAACCGTCCGATTCAGGTGTGTTCGTTTTTTGTTTTTTTAAATGGCACACATGAACATTATATTTCAACATGAACCGTATCTGACCAACAGGAAAAAAAAAAAAACATGCCTTTGAGATTTGTTGTAATGCCAGTAAAATGCAAACAGGATATTTTATAATAACTGTAGTGTTTCTCACATCTAATGTTAAGGAGAGTCCTGACATAGTAGCTATAGCACACAATGTGTAAACATATCCGCCGTATTGCGCTGTATCCCCACAATTAATGTTTTTCACTTTTTTTTTTTAATCGTGCAAAAATATAAACCGACTCAAACTCTGAGCAAATTTACAAATAAGCAACAGGGCTAAATATGCTTCTTTTTTTTTTTTTTGTTAAGAAAATAATAGTGCTAAACTACGTTCTGAATAAGAAAAGGTAAGGTACATAAGAGAGAAGTATGAAAATAGTGTTCTTGCTTCACAATATCAACATTAAAGTCTCGCTCATCTTGTTCCTTAGAGTCGACCTCCCTTTCAATGAATAAAGAAGAAAAAACCCAAAATAATCAACTTTACAAATCAAGAAACTTGATGTAAAATTGCACGTTAATCCAGGAGGGGAAAACTTTACAGGAGATACATGACAAACCTTTACAGATTAAATGAGGTATTGCACAGATTAATTAATAAAAGAAAAAAAAAGAAAAGAAAAAAAAAGGCAACAAAAAAAAAATAAATGTACAGCAAATTGGTCATCCATTTACATTACAATTTGATAAGATTTATAAAGACACTACATAAGACAAGAGCAATGTAGTGTCTTGATTGTTTTGGGCAGCCCTGGTCATCAGTCATCCCACTCATCATCATCTTCAAAATCTTCTTCGTCATCATCATCCTCATCTTCATCTACAAAACCATGGATTAAAGGTTAAGTTTTCTAGTGTAACAATGCTGAATGAGTCTGACTGTAATGGTCATAAAGCTCAGTCCCACACACACACACACACACACACACACACACACACACACCTGAAGAGTGGATTGCTTTGCTCCTCTTCTGCATGACCTCCATCAGAGCGCCCACGATCCCAGCGGACGAGGCCGGAGAGGCCGGAGCCGAGTCGGCAGAGTCCGGTACCTGGAAGGGTCACATGATCAGAATGTTTTTGTTCACCGGCATGCCATGCAGTTATGATAAATGACTAGTGCAAAAATACAGCAACAACTAATAACTAAAAAAAAAAAAACACTGATTTGAACAAGGACTCAAATGTGGAAATACAAATAAAATCATAAATCAATAAGATGACTTTAATTTTAAATTTTTTCCACAATTAATTTATGGCCTGGAAAACTTCCCAATATTATATAACTAGCATCTAAATCATTTGCATTACTGTCGTTCAAAAGTTTGTGTTTGTATGGAAGCTTGTTTCCGCCACAGAATGAAAAATAAAAAAGGTAATTGCGACTTTTTATCGCGCAATTCTGACTTTATTTCTCAGAATTGCGAGATTTAAAGTCAGAATTGCGAGATTTAAAGTCAGAATTGATTGATATAAAGTCGCAATTGCGTGTTGTAAAGTCAGAATTGTGAGAGATAAACTATTCTGAGGGGGAAAAAGTTAGTCTTTTTTTCCCCTTAGAATTGGCCTGATAACTCGCAATTGCGAGTTTATATCTCACAATTCTGAGAAAAGATGTCAGAATTTCGAGATATAAACTCGCAATTATGTTATAAAGGCAGAATTGCGATATGTAAATTCGCAATTGTGAGATCAAAAGTCGCAATTCTGTAGCCTGGTTAAAACCAGACCATTCTCAGTTGTAACTGAGTTATGGTCTGGCAAAGCATCATAGACAAATCATTTCCAGAGGGGCGTCACCAACGGACGTCGCGGATAGACCTAAACCCAATCAGAGTGATGAAGGAGATGACGTATGCAGAGCCGAGTGTTGTTCTTTGCTCGGTTTTTAACTAAAAGGAAACGTTCAAATGGCTTAAAACACACGCGATAGCTGATTGGAACGAGTGATGTTCGACGCCGGCATCCATCTTTGTAATGTAGGCTACAAAATCTGCTTCAAAACCCCAGCGCTGTCCTCATCGTGTAAAGCCACCCCAACGTTTCTGATTGGTGCCGCGATTTCGGCGGATTGGAAATGGGCTTGAATGAGCTCTTTGCCAGACTAACTTTCAGAGCAAATCTACATTTGCCGGAAGTTGTCTGTGTTTTCCCAGGCTAGCAATTCTGTCTTTTTTTCTTGCAATTGTGACTCTCATAATTGCGACTTTTTCCCCTCACAATTCTGACTTCATATCTCGCAGTTGTGAGATAAAAAGTCGCAATTATTATTATTTATTTTTTTATTCAGTGGCGGAGACAAGCTTCCATATGTTTGGAAAGATTTTAATGCTTTAAAAAAAAAAAAAAGTGTCTTATGCTCATCAAGGCTGCATTTATCGGATCAAAAGATACAGTAAAAACAGAAAATTTTAATAATATATTTCACATTATTACTGTGTGAATATGTTGTAAAGTGTAATCATTACTTCAGTGTCACATGATCCATCAGAAATTATTCTAATATGATGATTTGCTGCTCAAGAAACATGATTATCAATGTTGAAACTCATTCTTTGATAAACAGAAAGTTCAAAAGAACAGCGTTTATTTGAAATTGCAATCTTTTGTAGCATTAAAATGATTTTACTGTCACTTGATTCATTTAATGCATCCTTGCTGAAGTATAAATTTTTTTTTTACAAAAAAATTAGTTGTCTTTTTTGCCACTCTGCTCACATTTTTAAGCTGAATGCCGAGTCGTATTTGGTCTAAGAGAGCGCCACGGCCTCCAGTGGACACGGCCGGCTTGCTGTTCGGCTCAACCTTCTTCAGCTGCGCTCCTCCTCGAATCTGGTCCAGGAGTGCAGATTTTCCCTCAGGCAGATCCCCTGAATTAACCTCCGTTAGTGGAGGAGGCGCGGGAGGAGGCGGGCCCGGAGGAGGAGGGGGAGGAGGAGGTGGAGCTCCACCTGAAGATGATGGAGGAGGGGGTGGAGGGGCCGGTGGAGACAGGGAGGCGGGTTGGGGAGGTGGAGGTGGTGGAGGAGCTGACCCGTGACCTCTGCTGGGGGGGGGAGGTGGTGCACCAATGCCAGGCCGGAAGGGTGGAGGAGGGGGGGGAGCTGAGGTGGGTGCTCTGGATGGTGGGGGTGGAGGTGGAGCTCCCCGACCTCTGGAGGGAGGAGGGGGGGGAGGAGGGCCAGAGTTATGGGGGGGTGGAGGAGGTGGAAGTCCTCCTCTGGATGGTGGAGGTGGAGGTGCTGGAGAAAGAGAATACAATATGTTACGGTAAATGTTAATATAGACCTGGAAGTTGCGAGCAACAAAGAAATACACATGGATTAATGTGAAAAAACTTCAAGAGGAGGATGCTATTAAGGTGGTGTTAAAGAGCTGTTGATTACGGTTGCCGAGCAACACAGCAACTTGCAATCACAGAATTTAGAATCTAGGATTAGAATTTTAGAAGGTTTTTAAATTTAAACAAACTATCCTCACATTATTTGATATGTAATGAATGAGATCAAAAACATGTCAAGCTGATGATAAAGTTGCTATTAAGGTGGGGTAATTAAGCATGCGTGTGCCTGTGTTTGATTGACAGGCGATCTGACCAATCATAATCTGCCGAATCCAACATTTTTGTCCGACAGAGCAGTCAGGAGAGTTAGTAGAATAACGTCAGGATTTGAACGGTGTACACTGACATCTTTCCACGGTTGAAACAACATTCCTTCCGATGTTCATTCAGGTTTATTTAATGCTATAAATCATCTAGAAGGAAGAGATGATCGGTTCACCAGCGGCTTTAACTGAGGCTCTAGCGATCTGTCACGACACATTAGAGCCACAAAATGGTATTTATAGTTTAAATTTCTTTAAAAAAAAGACCAAATTTGAAAGTTAAGACTGTTTCATATCAAATGTAAGCTGGTCTGTCCGTCTGTTGAGTCATTGTCAGTGTCCTCTACAATTTAGAATAGCTGTTTACTAAGTTAATATATTGTAAACTAATATATTCCTGTGATCAAAGCTGAATTTTCAGCATCATTACTCCAGTCTTCAGCGTCACATGATCCAATGATCAGCCAAGAAGCATTTATGATTATGATTTAGTGTTGAAAACAGCTCAATATTATTGCTTAATATTGTTGTATTAATCATAATAGATTTCTCAGGATACTTTGAACAACGTTCAAAATATACATTTATCTGAAACTGAAATCAATCCATTATAAATGTCTTTAATGTCACTTTTGATCAATTTAATGCATCCTTACTGAATTAAAGTATTCATAAAAAAAAAAGAAAAGATTTAAAACAGTAGATTACATGCATAAAAAAAAACAAAAAACTTTTGAAACAAAATTTTGAACAGTGGTGTATTCCATTGCAGGGATATAAAGTATATTGTGCTCATATTGCCAACCCGAACAATGTGTTAAACAAATAACATCAGATATCCTCGTCCAACGACTCGCTGACGCAGGAAACCACTTTAAAGTCAAACTCAACGTAGAAATGTGAAACTTTCAGAGATTTAAAACTGTAATATTCCTGTGTTCATCCTGGCTGCTGCTCACAGCTCAACCTATTCCTGCAACACGATCCTCATAAACGCTGACTCTGAGAAATAAGTTTTACTGGAGAGCTTTCAGCTGTGAGGAAGACAGAAGACGTTCCTCAAACACACAGACCAGAGCTGGAGGCTTGATCTCTCGAGGCTTGGTTTGGATCTGGGAGTTTGGAGAAGGGGTGTGCGAGTGACAAAAAAACATTTCTCGTTATTTTATCGCAAATGATAATTAGACGATGTTTTGCTGAGTGTGTTTATAGTGTCGGTACGGTGGCAGGTTTAGCCTTTGAATCCCAAAGCTTTTGATTTTCTTCATATTCTGTGTGTTGTCAGTTCTCAGCAGCTACAGAAATCAGATGTTTAATAAATAGATGTTTTTACATTTTATGGGCTTTATTTTATCTCCATAAAGCCATATTTTTCCCCTAATTAAATGTACGCATCATGTTTCGTCGTATTCTTGCATATATTTAAATTCAATTAGGTAAATAATAAAATCAATATCAACAAAATTCATCTTTGCAATGCAGAGGAAACATTTATGGCATTAGAGTGTCATTTATATGCATTTACACAGACTATAATGCAGCTCAGAGGGACATGAATGCGTTTAACCTGCTGTTACACATGCAGAAATAATGCTTTGATGTTTTAAACATAAAACGTTGAATATTTATATTTGAAATTATATATATTTTTAAATGTTAGAGTGAGTCATTGAATCATTCATTCAACCGATCAATTCATTCAAACAAGCATTTCAATGAGCTCATCGTTTCTGCCTTAACTACATTGTTAAATTAATAAATTTTTTGCTAACTGTGTATATTTGTATATGTAGATTTTTGAAATACATAACCTAGTTACCTGACTGTTGGCGAAAGAACAAAAACAGGCAACAAAGTGTCTTAAATGTAAGTATCTTAATATTAACTTCTTGTTTATTGAACTGTTGCATAAAATCAATATCACATTTGTAGTAATGCACTCTTTGTGTGATATTGATTGTATATATTTATATCATTTAATATAGTTAAATATATTTTTGCCCCTTATCTTGAATATTGGAGGCATTTTAATAGACTGCACGCTTTACTCTAAATGCACAAGCGCACTAGTCTAACCTACTAGACTACAACACGTCGTGTATTTTGTAAAGTGAGGGACATACTCGATAATGTCAGATTGCACATCGTTAAAACAACAATCACGATATTATCATAGACGATATATATTACACAGCCCAAATTGAAGGTCTAGTTTTGGTATGTGTTAAGGTCTTGACTCCAAATCTGGTTCTGACTAAAGGCACTAAAAGTATTTTCCAGATACACACACACACATCATCAGCCCACAGAAGTCTTGTAGTAACAGTAGTTTGGATGCAAGCCTTTTGATTGGACCACTGCAAAAAAAAAAAAAAAAAAAAAAAAAAAAAAAAAGGGTTTTCTTTTCATCACTGCAGACTCATGCATAAGGGGAAAGTAACCTACCACACCACCTCGGGGGTCCTGAAGGACAAATTATTTAAATATTACTCTATAATACAACCAAATACGATCATTTTTGCTTGGATAAGTGCTAATATCACAACCTGGCAGCTGCACCCTAACTCTTAAGACTCACCTTGTCGTCGAAGTTCACTTTTCACAGCCTCTACTCCTCCTTTCTTCTCAATGAAGTCGTAGATGACCTTGGACGTCTCTTTGTCTTTGAGCTGGTCCTCAGAAATGCCACACATGTCAAACAGGTTCTTTAGGTCTGGGTCCAGGTTATTCAACTGCGAATAGACAAGGAGTGAACCGTCAACAAATGACTGGAAAGAATCTAAATACAATTCTGCTTCTTGTGTTGTAGTCCTCCTCATTCGTTTGTAGTTCATCAAATTAACTTTGAACATACATTATCGTGTTGTTCGTTTTCTTAATACTTTTATTCAGCATTAAATTGATTAAATATATATAATGTTACAACAGATTTCAATTTAATATCAATAATAGTAATCAGAAATTTTATTAGAGTGATTTCTGAAGGATCATGTGACACTGAAGACTGGAGTAATGATGCAGAAAATTCAGCTTTGATCACAGGAATAAATTACACTTTACTATATATTCACATAGAAAACAGGTATTTTACATTGTAATAATATTTCACTGTATTTTTTATCAAACCAATGGAGCCATGAAGAGCAGAAGAGACTCAAAAACATTTTTTTTTAAATTCTACCAACACCAAACTTTTGAATGATAGTGTATTCCAGTAACCAGACTTCATTTTGAAGATTATATGTATTTTTCTGTTATAACTGTTTTGCTCGAAACGGGTGCTTGTGCCATCTTCTTTTAAAATAAATGCATCTCTGTTTGCTCATTTGTTATTTTACACAATGTGATTGAGACTAAGAGTCCATGTACTTTAGAGAGGGGCCACAATATTTCAGCTAATTCTTCAACCACAGAAACAGACGAATGTGCCGTTTAAATGTTACTAATTCTTCCCTCTGATAATGAAACGCTTCCCTGCACTCCTGCAGATAGTCTACCGGCGCAATCACACTATAACCCCGAATAAATCCTCTTTATGTAATCTCTCATTCAGGGGAGTTAAAATTACAAACTAGCACACACAGCCTAATACACACTGAAATATGATCCCTGATTTTTTGGGAGAATGATTGCTTTGGATTATGAAGACGCAATCACATTGTGTAAGAGATGACTTGCATTTGTGAATCATGACCTCTGATCCATGATGAAATCATGTAAACAAAAGCATCTTAAAACGACACGCAGGCAACACTGAACATCACGGCTTTACGCGTCACATTAAATGCAAACATGTAGTGGCGGAAATACTCACATCAAAACCCGTGTTGGGATCCCATCCTACATGCCCAACATGCCTAAAAAAAAAAGACACAAGCAGAAACATTCACCAAACACAGCTCAGAAACTGAAATTAAAGGACATCAAACATAAACATGGTCACGAAGGTCTCATCCCTCGTAAACATGATTCCTGGAATACAGCGGCCAGATTATCACGTATGGGATATATTACACGGGATTAAAAACAAGTGTGCATCCGATCACAACATAGGCCCTGTTTACAACTGGTGTTTATATGCGTTTTAGTTGAGTGGATCACAAGTGGACGATGCTAAATACAGGTGTAAAGGTTTTGAGCTTGTCCACTTCCACAGATACTCGAAAACGCATGTGATCGGATTGCTTTCGTTGTGTAAACGCTCATGTGTTCGAACATCCATGCGTAAACCTTATGGGAAGAGCTCTAGCCAGACGGGTTTAAACTTTGTAGACTGAAGACCCAAGTTTGGTTTGAAGATGAAAAACACACCGAGCGCAATGTTCTCTCACCAATCCTGATTACACACACACACAGTTCGGCTGGTCTTACGGCTGTCAGAGCAGAAACGAAAAGCTGCTTCTCTGTGTGTTTTTCTGACATCTCCTTTTACGTTTTACGTTCATGTGTGAATTGCACAAGCATATTTCACCTATTAAATCGGAAGATCTGAAAAAGCCCTTACATTTACCCACCCATAGACCCTGCCATCAAAGAAATTAAAGTTGAAAGTGGACGGAAAAGAGACGGATTTGAACTCCAGGTGTGAACGGGAATGAGTTTCCCTCGTCTACTTGTGATACAATCAAACCAAAACGCATCTTAATACTTAAAACCAATTCCAAGTTGGTTTGAACATAAAAGCGAACTCACCGAAAATTGCTTGGGGTGCCAATTTCAGCTTTGGATATTTTCTTCTTCTTGTTGTTGTTTTTGCCTTTGGCTTTGTCTTTCCTGTTGAAGTTGCTGTGGAGGTTGATGTTGTTCATTTGAGTGTTATTTTGATAACGCTGGTTGTTGATCTCGGGGTTCTTTATGTCCACCGTTGCCATTGGAAGTGTTGGTCCTAAAAGTCCTGAAGGTCCTGAAACAGTCACAATCAAATTCATTTTTTTAAATATCCATTCACTGATGCGATCAAACACTTTTTTTTTTTAAAGTTAAGTATCCAGGCAGAACCTATTTATTGCCTTTTTTCTCCATCATGCATTTTACTATGTATCACTCAAAAGCTTAAACACTCAAAATTCATTTGCTTTGGTTACCTTAAATAACATTTCACACTTTCACAAAAAATGTACAAAAGCATAAAAAAAACGACAAAGCTTTAAAGAAAAACTGGTTTAATGCACTGAACATTAGACACTGCATAAAGACTAAATCGCCCAATAAAGCTTCTCTCCATCTTGTCCAATTATTTAAGCCCTCAGGTAAACTTCAGGTCGCAACCTACCTGTGTCCTCACGCTTGACACTGTACGCAGGCGAGAGTAAAAACGACGGGCTATAGTGCCGGCTAATGTCTCCACCCCCTAAACCCACGTTCAGAAGGATTTTACCCATCACCACACAGGTGCGCTCACTGTGTCGCAGGTTAACCGTGGGGTCGGAGAACGGACCGTACAGCTCGTCCTGTGGGAGAACGAGGCATTGCAGGGGAGCCAGGCAACCTCCCAAACCCGAAGCCCCGTCTAGTTTCTCATCCGCCGGCGCTGACAAAAAGGTGGTGCAGAACATCATCTCTGAACGCACGTAGACATCCACGACACAGGTGTGTGTGTGTGTGTGGTCAGGCTGCTCTCGCTTTTCTCTGCCAGCATTTGAAGGCTGCTGTGCGCTAAAGACACGCCCTCTTTTAATCCCAGGAAATTATACACGACCGCTGGATTTTACATAACCGTTAAAGCCAGCAATAAGCTGCGGAAAATCTCCTGGGTTCTTGAGGACACGCTACATTTGAGGAACAACAAAAAACCCTCCACGCAGGCAGAGGGTGCAAGTCAAAAAGGCGGTCAATACTAGATGACTAAACAAAATATCAAGGGGGAAAACCTTGTCGTTCCTCAGTCAAAACATATAGGTCAGCGGGTGAGCAAATCCATATAACCAGCTCTCAAACAGATTAACTACAAGTCTAATACTTATAGTTGCACCAGAGCTCATGTTGCTCATCCATAGAGGTCAGAGGTCACAGTGCTGATATGCACATACACTACCAGTCAAACGTTTGTAAAGTCAAGTCACCTTTATTTATATAGCGCTTTTTACAATATAGATTGTATCAAAGCAGCTTCACAGCGCTAACATGAAATAATACAACAAAGTTTGTTTCTAGAAGATCGTCCACCTTAGATCAATAATATTGTTGAATATTATATGTCCCCAACTGTATGTAAAGAGTGTAAATGTAAAGACTGGAGTCCATATGAATCACATACACACTCTCGATAACCCACTTTGGGAACTGAGTGTCAACAGCACCTTCACACACCCAAAATAGTCCAGTTTAACTGAAAAAAACCCCCCAAAACAAACATAACCCTAACACCCATATCATCTTCACGTTACTTCAAAACGTCGGCCCAGTATATAGGATGGTAGTGACAAAGGTGCCAGATTTTCCTGTATATCTGGATTTCTGCCTCTCGGGTGGATGTAAAGTGCATATGACGTGTTAGCATACGTTAGCTGGGTAGGGTGGTTGACAGGCCCTGAGGGTCATGTGGTGAAAGACCATCACCACTGTGAAGATCAAGTTTTGGTAGAACACTTGAGGGGGGTGGGAGGTGTGCTTGTGAATTATACATCCGTTTTATTTTTCGAGATGCATTATTTTGCTTTGCTTCAGCTATGATAAAGAAACATTAGAGATATGATAGAGGCATCTGTGGATTTTGGGGTGGAGCAATGTGTTTCTTTAGGTTGGTTTCAAATAAGTGTTTCTCATAAATGTATTACTGCACCTTTAAAGCTACGTGGTGAATAGGGCAAAAATTTCAAGATATATGGCCTGGTGATGTATATATAGATTTTTGTATTGTGTCACTATTTTAAATGACAAATGAAACATTTAAAGTTGAATAAATACTTGTTTTTTTTATTCTAAAATGTAATTATTCAATTAAATAAATAAATAATATTTGTAAAATTCAAACATGCCCATACAGCATGGCAGCATTTTATTATATTTTAATTTATCTGTCACAATAATAATGCCACAATACAAAATTGTTATGGTCCTAAAAACACACGTTATTTTCTTTCAGTAAAATATAATTTCCTATTTTTTCCTATTTTTTTGGGTGAAAAATTAACCAGACATAATTCAATCTGATTATTTAACATATGTTCATAAACTACTAGTATAATCTTCAAAGAATCTACAGACATAAAAACCATTTGAACCGGTAAACTTTGTCAGTCCTAGACAAAGTTTAGTTTAGACAGAATTAACGTTCATGTAATTCATTAGTAAACAACCTACCATTAGGTGGGTCACGTCTTTTTTCTGCAAAATAAAATTAAGATAACTGTCATTAATAAATTCACTTAAAAATGGAAGGTTTATTAGTGAAAGAATTAGATTTAGCGGCGCAAGAGAGATCGGAGAGATATTTAAATGCACAATCGTCTCCTTGTCCCGACAGAAGTTGCTGAGTCAGTCGACACACAGAGGGGAAGTGGTTAAAGAGAAGACTAATCAGAAGCAGGCCGACACGAACAGACCCCTGTGGGTCCCACAGACATCAGAGAGCAGGATTCGGCAGAAACACACACACACACACTGGTTGAGTAGCCTTTGTTAGGAAGGAAAAAAGAACTGGGAGCAACAAGGCATATAGTATGGAAGCTTGTTTCCGCCACTGAATACAACAAATAATTGAGACTTTTTATCTCACAATTGCGAGATATGAAGTCAGAATTGTGGGAAATAAAGTCGCAATTGCGAGAAAAAAAAAGACAAAATTAAGACTTTTTATCTCACAATTGCAAGTTTACATCTCAAAATTCTGACTTTATAACACATAATTGCGAGTTTATATCTCGAAATTCTGACATCTTTTCTCAGAATTGTGAGATATAAACTCACAATTGCGAGTTATCAGGCCAATTCTAAGGGAAAAAAGACTAACTTTTCCCCCCTCAGAATACTTTACATCTCGCAATTCTGACTTTACATCTCGCAATTCTGACTTTACATCTCGCAATTCTGACTTTACATCTCGCAATTCTGACTTTACATCTCGCAATTCTGACTTTACATCTCGCAATTCTGACTTTACATCTCGCAATTCTGACTTTACATCTCGCAATTCTGACTTTACATCTCGCAATTCTGACTTTACATCTCGCAATTCTGACTTTACATCTCGCAATTCTGACTTTACATCTCGCAATTCTGACTTTACATCTCGCAATTCTGACTTTACATCTCGCAATTCTGACTTTACATCTCGCAATTCTGACTTTACATCTCGCAATTCTGACTTTACATCTCGCAATTCTGACTTTACATCTCGCAATTCTGACTTTACATCTCGCAATTCTGACTTTACATCTCGCAATTCTGACTTTACATCTCGCAATTCTGACTTTACATCTCGCAATTCTGACTTTACATCTCGCAATTCTGACTTTACATCTCGCAATTCTGACTTTACATCTCGCAATTCTGACTTTACATCTCGCAATTCTGACTTTACATCTCGCAATTCTGACTTTACATCTCGCAATTCTGACTTTACATCTCGCAATTCTGACTTTACATCTCGCAATTCTGACTTTACATCTCGCAATTCTGACTTTACATCTCGCAATTCTGACTTTACATCTCGCAATTCTGACTTTACATCTCGCAATTCTGACTTTACATCTCGCAATTCTGACTTTACATCTCGCAATTCTGACTTTACATCTCGCAATTCTGACTTTACATCTCGCAATTCTGACTTTACATCTCGCAATTCTGACTTTACATCTCGCAATTCTGACTTTACATCTCGCAATTCTGACTTTACATCTCGCAATTCTGACTTTACATCTCGCAATTCTGACTTTACATCTCGCAATTCTGACTTTACATCTCGCAATTCTGACTTTACATCTCGCAATTCTGACTTTACATCTCGCAATTCTGACTTTACATCTCGCAATTCTGACTTTACATCTCGCAATTCTGACTTTACATCTCGCAATTCTGACTTTACATCTCGCAATTCTGACTTTACATCTCGCAATTCTGACTTTACATCTCGCAATTCTGACTTTACATCTCGCAATTCTGACTTTACATCTCGCAATTCTGACTTTACATCTCGCAATTCTGACTTTACATCTCGCAATTCTGACTTTACATCTCGCAATTCTGACTTTACATCTCGCAATTCTGACTTTACATCTCGCAATTCTGACTTTACATCTCGCAATTCTGACTTTACATCTCGCAATTCTGACTTTACATCTCGCAATTCTGACTTTACATCTCGCAATTCTGACTTTACATCTCGCAATTCTGACTTTACATCTCGCAATTCTGACTTTACATCTCGCAATTCTGACTTTATATCTCGCAATTCTGACTTTACATCTCGCAATTCTGACTTTATATCTCGCAATTCTGACTTTATATCTCGCAATTCTGATTTCTGACTTTACAACACGCAATTGCGAAGTTATATCAATCAATTCTGACTTTATATCTCGCAATTCTGATTTCTGACTTTACAACACGCAATTGCGCCTTTATATCAATCAATTCTGACTTTATATCTCGCAAATTCTGACTTTATAACACGCAATTGCGACTTTATATCACGCAATTCTGACTTTATTTCTCGCAATTGTGAGAAATAAAGTCAGAATTGCGAGATGTAAACTCACAATTGTGAGAAAAAAAAGTCAGAATTGTGAGATAAAAAGTCACAATTACCTTTTTTATTTTTCATTCTGTGACGGAAACAAGCTTCCATAATATAGTGTTACAGAAAGAGTGATAGAAGTAGACAAAGGGGGAATCATGTCAGAAGAAAACCAGATGATGATGGTTTTTCCAGCAGAGGGACACGAGTGAAGTGAAGGAGAGATACAGTTATGCTCTGCTGTTGTTGTATTTACCGGTTTTCCTCTTTCTAATCAGAAGATCATTTGCTGCAGACCTGAAGCGCTTGGCTTCCTCCTCGCTGGCAAAATTAAGCCCGATCTGGGACGCCTGAGGACGAACACACATTAATATACACTCTGCTTGTGGTGAAACAGCAGATTTCAGAACAGTTATTCAAACAGAATGAAACAAAAACAAACAAAGCCATTTGACACTCATTTTACTTTTGTAATAAGCAGCATTATAGAGTAACACAATATTAAACTAGATTAAAAAAAAATCATCAAGGTGGCTTGAGAGAGCCTGACCAGAAAGTTTGAAACTGTTGTAAACGCTTTAAGTTAAGGTTTTCAGTTTAAAGTAGTTTGAAGTTTAAAGTTCGAATGTTTTGAAGGCAATACAGTCCATCAGAAGATAGACAGACAGGTTGATAGGCTGTTTTTGTATGTTGCAAACATGATTTAACACATTGCTAGCATGATTAAGCATGTTGCTAACATGATTTAACAAGTTGGTAAAAGGATTTAACACACTGCTAACATTTTGCTACTTGCTAACATGATTAGCATGTTGCTAACATGATTTAGCATGTTGTTAGCATGTTGCTAGATTCTTCATTTTTAGGAAAACCATACGTTGGATCAGTTTGAAAAGAAATAGCAACTCAAGTCAGATCAGTCTGAAGGTCCGAAGCGAGTTTGGAGGTTCTTGCTAAAGCTCGAGCCACCAAACACTTGTGCAAATGAACGACCAAAACACATTAAAAGTTTTCTGTTTTCGGTTAAAGCGGTGTCGTGTTAGCGGCCCCTAAGTTAGTAACTAATGATCTTTAGAACGGAAGTGAATCAATCAAAACTAACTCTAGCTGGACAATAACTTTATTCTAGAGCTGCTGTAAAACCAAAACAATCTGTTACTTTAATTTCCTATTATCACTGTAAAGCGATATTGTTAAAACGCTATATAAATGAAGGTGACTTGACTTGGCTTGAATCTAGGAGTCAAAATAATTAGTCTCGGAAGAATAATAAAAAGTTTAAATAGCATTTCAGTAAGTTGGCTCTCTCAAGCCAACTTAATGAGCAAAAAACTCATTACAAGGACTGAGAAGACTAACTTTTTTGGGAGGATAATGTTCATGGATGAAATCATGCACAATAATAAGACAAGAGATGTATATAAACAAAGCCAATTTCAGTTTCACATTGACTTTAACTCCAGCTTTATCAGTCTGTGGTGTGGACACATACCCTTACGCCTGCTGAGGTGAAGTACAAGTGTACGAAACAGATACGAACACATGAACAGACACACAAAAAGGACATGCGTGTACAAGATCTGAGCACTTACGTCTCCAGCAAACGTGATAAAGTAAGGCCTGGAGCTGTTTATTGAAAAGGAGTTGTAGAGTTCTTGATCAAACAAGATTTTTCCCTCCTGTCGAAACAGAATAAGAAACCATTTACTTAATACTAAGAGAGCAAGATGATACATGAGGAATCATGAAAAACACTTACTTTCATATCAAACACCCTGATAAAGTAAGATCTCATAGGGCTGTCTTTCACCAGACATGCCACACCACAGCACTTCTTCACCCAGGACGAGTTTCTGTCGGCGACATAGACTTGCACCACCGCTGAACACAAACTCTGCGGACACAAGGAGGAAACAGAAGAATTAAACTAAATCTGCAATCGTGTATCATTTCAAATAAATCATAATAAACCCTAAACCTGTTTATGTAGGTCACATGAAAACAGATGCCCAAGTATCACTTTCAGAATGAATTTCAAAGGGGACAAATTACGCCAAAAAACAACTTATTGTCTCCATTGTTGCGGCTCCTCTCTTCCCAGTCTGTCAGTAACGCTCTGTTTAGTTCCTGTCTCTATGAAGCCCCTCCTTCTGAAAAGTACACTGTGCTCTGATTGGTCGGCTGGATCAGTGTGTTGTGATTGGTCGAGCGCTTCGAGTGTGTTTGGGAAATGTCCCGGCCCTTCCCATAACCGCCAGTTTAACACACTACTAACTAACTCAACCAGGCCCCGCCCCTTTATTCTGCGCATTAATTATTATAATGAGGAATATTGTGACGTTTTCGTTCCTGGAAGAAACTCAAGACTACAATGGAGTTCAGTAACACTGACACTGATATAGAGAATAACTCCCGCTGGAGGGACGTTTTCATGCTCAAACAATAAAAAAAAGAGAAGCATATTTGGAGCCCTTCAATAAAAGATCATTTTAAAAAATCAAAAGACTTATGTCCAAAAAAATTAAAAATAAACCCCATAAAAATGCTTTTTGGTTCTTGTTAAGTTGTCGATGTGCCATGATAAATGTCACCACAATTGGTCAATAAACAGAAAACATTAACGCCATAAAACGACCAGAAAGTGTGTAGTTGAACCGCCCTGGACATCCGGGGGTTCCTCTGTGAAGGACATGATTATACCGGTGTCGTTCAACATGACTTTGACAGTCTCCTCACGAAGCTGCCGGTCACAACGCCTCTGAATGAAGACTCTCAGACGAATCATGATGAGAATGAGGAACGCGGCTCATTATGCGCATTACCACTGGAGTCCAAGCTCTTGGCTCGTTTTAGATTGTATCGTTATATCTTTTCTTCCCTTTTGTGACGTATATCCGAGTGAAACGCTTCTAGAAGAATAAATGTGGGCGGGGCTTGATTTTAACTGTGATTGGATGATTGTGGTTTGCTATTGGCTGATCTCATGTGAGTGACAGGTTAAGCCCCGCCCTCATCATCAGAGAAAAGATGATGTCACTGCATAAGGGAGCGGTTATTCTGATTCAGGATTATTATTTTTTGTTGTTGATATTTTACCTTGTATATTATGCAAACAACCTTTTTATCAGGGAGAACCAAGTTTTTCAAAGTTGTAAATAAAGTTTGTTTACCATGTAGATGCTGAAATGTAAATGTGGGCGGGGATATGTTAATGAGCTCCTGGTTGTGATGTCTATTAGTGATGGGTCGTTCATGAACGATTGCGTCTGTCACGTGACAAATGAACAAAAGACTCGGAAGGTAAAATAATTATTTATATTCGCTGTAAATTATTTTTCACTGCATTATAATGTTTTCTTAATTCAGAATATGATCAGGATTGCGTTGGTGGATGTGTTTGGGGAATTTGGCTGTTACAAGTATAACATTTAAAGCCACTTCAATGAACGAAATGACTCGAAAAAAGATTCGTTCATTTTGATGAACGAAATCGAACAAGAGTCAGTAAAATGATCCGAACTTCCCATCACTAATGTCTATTACATTACATTTTCTGAATGATCTGTTTTTGCAGTTTAGTTTTAACAGAAGGACGGACACGGGGAGGAAACTCAGAAAAGTGAAAGTCAAAATCCTGCTTTCCAAGATATGACGGCTTTGAGGAAAAACAAGGATACACCCGAGTTGAAACCCGAGTTCACAAATCAATCGTCTGACCTGAGATGAACCAGAACCAAAGAACCAGTGAATATTTCCTCCTAAAAACTGTAGGACAGTGACACTTCCGAGCACTTTTAAGTGAACAGCTGTAAAATGCATGAAGATGTTCTCGCCAAACAGCCACTTTAGGGAATTAATGATCAGCATCGGTCTCAGGACAGGCCAGATGATTTACATAAGCGCAGAGCGGCCCACCAAAGCCAGGCGGTCCTGCCAGGATCCTGGTCAGGAATGAAGCCACACACACACATCTTAACAACCCGCCAAACTGTTACAGAGACACTCAAAGCTTCCATTAACCACACGATACAAGCCAGAGGAGGGCTTACAGACACAGTGCGAGAGGGTCTCCTGTGCTCTCATTGGCTGAATGAAGCTGCCGCCCATTATCAGTTCATTCGAGTCATTACTCAAACTCGGAGGCATTCGTCCGAACCAACAGCAGACAGTCATCGCTTCATGTCTCGCAGTTTATCGCTCATCATCAGCTGCAGTTAATGGAAGAAATCTGCTGACGTAGCGCTCATGCACTGCGATGACATCACTGATGATGTACACATGAAGGAAAGAGCTGCGAATGAATGAAATAAATCATTTTATTCAGTGAGGAGGCATTAAAGTGACTACGATGTCACCAACGATTTCCATTTCAAATAAATCACGTTGTTATAATCATAAATGTTTCTTGAGCAGAAAATCATTATATTAGAGTGATTTCTGAAGGATCATGTGACACTGAAGACTGGAGTAATGATGCTGAAATATCAGATTTGATAAATAACGTTACTAATATATATATATATATATATATATATATATATATATATATATATATATATATATATATATATATATATATATATATATATATATATATATATATATATATATATATATATATATATATATATACATATATACACACACACACAGAAAACAGTTATTTTAAATTGTAATATTTCACAGTATTACAGTATTTTTGTTTAAATTATTGCAGCCTTGGTGAGCAGAAGAGACTTAAATATATTTTTAAAATCTTATTTACCCCAAACTTTTAAACAGTAGTGTTTCTATCCATCATGCAATAAAAATAAATAAAAACAATTTAGTAAATTGAATATTAATTTAAAATATAATTACTAAAATTAAATAAATATTTTTAATAAGTTACATAACTTAACTATATATATATATATATATATATATTTTTAGGGCTGTCAAACGATTAATCACATCCAAAATAAAAGTTTGTGTTTACATAATATATGTGTGTGTACTGTGTATAATTATTTTGTATATAAATGCACACATGTATATATTTAAGAAAAATATGTTATTTATATATAAAAAATTTATATTTATATAAAATATACATTATATATAGGCTACATTCAGTCTATATACATGCAAATATTTCTAAAATACACATGCATGTGTGGGTATTTATGTATTAAACATAATTATACACAGTACACACACATATATTATGTAAACACAAACTTTTATTTTGGATGCGATTAATCGCGATTAATCGTTTGACAGCCCTAAATATATATATAAAAAGTATGAGAACACTTTTGTCACTACATATTTTCCATACATTAATGTGTTGGTTTACGCTGTAATATTATTCTGAAATGCGAAAAAATGCTTTTAATAATAATTTACAAATAATAAATTACAAATGGCTAAACAATTTTAAAGTTCATATTCTTAAATGTGCTGTATAAAAAAAAAAAAGTTCAACAAACTTGACTTTTGTATGTGAACTGAGGCTATATGGAGCAACAAAGGTGTAAAATAAATACTTTATATTTTATATCATTGTCCATCTAAAACCCACAGCAATGATAATACTGAAGTAGGGGTGTGCGAGATCACACATTTTGATCGTGAACGATTAATAGGTCACCATCATAAGTTAGCACAGAGGTAGGGTTAAGCTCACGTGAGGTTGCAGTTATTCACAATCACGAAAGTAACAATCATTATTATTTGCATACGTTTTAAAGCCTTGCCGTTAAACATTTTACGGTATTCTCATGCGCTTTTCATCCCCCGCACGCTTAAAGCCTGTCAAAAACAGCGCCCGAGTACTAAACTTAGTTACCTTTCGCGTTTTATTGTGCTTAAAGCTAAGGTTTACATAAACACAGACGGTTATGTCTTAAGTGAACAAACAGTCGGTGGAAAACCGGATGCGTGTCTGTATATTAGACCCGTGAATGAGGTCTTAAAGTGACAGCAGCCTAATAAACCCGCGTCATTAATGTTAAAACAACAAAAGACAAAAATAAAAATCACTTGCTGCACTTCACTGAATAACTTCAGTAGATTAATAAGAATAAACGTATATATAATTTATACAATTTCTTACTTGTATACTACTGTCAAGTACACCTATTTTATATTATTTGTATGTATATTTGTTCTTATTTTTAATAACAAAGATAAAATAATGAAATAAAGATTAATCTTCACTCACCCCTTCTTTGGCCTAAATAGTTTTTTTCTTTTATATTTTGTTACTTTGTAAGCCCCCCTTTTTAAAATGGGTAAATTAGTTTGGCTGCACTGCCAAGTCACTTGCAAAATAGTAAAACCAACATGAAAAATTGTGATTAAAATGGTGATATGATATTTCTGCCATATTGCCCACCACTATACTGAAGACAAAGGTCAAAGTTGAAGAATCCATCATTAACAAATGTCTATGACCCTGCTATTATCAAATTCTACGCATTACAGACTGAAACAGAGAGAAGGCTGAAAAATAGCGATTTTAGCTGTCCTCACACTTCACAGAAACTTGGCCAGCAGGAACTACCAGAGAGGACTGGTTCTCCAACCCCCCCACATTCATCCCACATAGGACCAGAAACAGCAGGAGAACCAGCAAGGCCCGGCGTACCACATCCTCAGGCTGAGCGGTCCTGATCGAAAACTAATGCTAGCTCGAAAACTAGCTGGCACAATGCTAACAAAAAAAAGGATGAGTTTGAGGTCTCAGCTCATGGTTCTGTGATTCAGAGGATATTCAACTGATTCCTCAGAGGAGAGATGTGGACACACACAGTTAACACACCCACTTCAATCATGCCATGACACGCCGCTTGAATATAAAAAGGCTTGCAATATAAATTCATGAATAAAATGTCAAAAAGGTGACGAAGCCCCCGGGATGCATTGATATTGCAAGCGCATGATGAGCACAGCAATGTCACCGTCCAACGCCGCTAGGAATGTGAAGCATTCAAGGACCCGTGTCATACAAGAGAAACCGGGAATCTCGGGCGGCAAGTCCTGGATCCCGTTTCACACAGAGGAACGAGGCCCTTTGGAAAGCTTCGGTTTTGTTATCCGAACAACATGAGTTTCATCTTGTAGGAACAGAACAGGTAACGCAGAGGAATGAGGAAACAGAAGTTTACAAGTGCATTCAGATTAAACTAAAAACATGTCAAAACTTCAGATCAATGCATATTGCATAATAATGATAGAAGGTGCAACTTATGTTTATAAAGAAGTATAAACTCATAAATCGTTAATGTTGATTAAATGGCCTATCGTTTTCCTAGCATTAGTTCCAACATGTAAAAATGGTGTGAATTTGAGTTTAAAAAAAAAGTGCATACATTAAATTAAGTTGTATTATGTATACAAATCTCCTCTCTATAATAGATGGGTCAATTATTTCCAACCGATACTTTCCCAATATTGAATATTTTGTTACATTCCTAACCAGACACACCAATGACAGTTTCCTCTATAAAACAGTTATGAAAGCTGGGTGAATTATCATTGCACGCATTACATAGCATGGTTGGACATGCAGAGGTAAATGTCTCGTATTTGAAAGCAGGCCTGTGTGTTTTATTGTGAAATCTGAAGGAGGAAGAGTGTTATGAGCTGCTGTCAGGTGATGGCGTTTATCAGCCATAAAGATAAAAGGGAAAGTGCCAATATGACATGAACTATATCAAGTTTACCTGGTTACGTTTCATTAAACAAGACGAACTACTGATGCAAAATAAGGCACTTTATAAGAAGAACCAGAGTTATATAGATAGATAAAACGTGGGTTTATACTTTAGGTGAAAGCAGCTGTCGTCATATATTATGACGTGGGTCATCATCATCATCATCATCATACAGTATTTGCATTAAAAGTTTGAAAACCCATGATCTAAAAGTACTCAATCTCACCAGCACAAGGCCCATGAGCTCACCTGAAACTTTCAAAGCATTGATCGAGAAACACGAATGACTGCAGCAAGCAGAACTCCTGTTACACTCGTCAACAGGGCACAGTGGATCTTTACAATGATACATTGTTGATGGATCCGTTCCAATGGAATCATCAGTGATACATCATATCAGTTCGAGTTCGGAACATGATGACTGACTGAGAACTACCTGGCAAACAAACCAAGCAAATGCTTGAGAACTTACGGTGCATTTCCTGCCCAGATGGTTGAAGAGCACTTCGTTTTCTTGGTGTGTGAGAAGAATGGAGCCGATGTTACTCGCAGGCCTCCTGGTTGAAGGCGGACCACTCATTTTGACAATCCGATGGTGTGAACTTGTGATCAGGAAGTGTTAAACAGAAAATATGCGTTCATTGATCTTTGATCACCGCAGCTTGTATCCGGAGCCTTTCATATCCAGACCTGTGTGTGTTTCGGCCGGGAATGGGTTGAGAGAGAAGTCCTGCGTCTCACAAATAAGAAGCGATCCTCGTCTGGTTATCCAGTGTCGTCTTGAGCCTCTAAACTTTCATCTGAACTCCTGTGCACCGAGCTTTCGATCCAACATGGCAGTGCCACCGCTGCGCATGACAGTGAGACGCAGCGGATTACAATCCCTACTATGGCGAAAGCTTGGCTTATGAATATTAATGACACGGCGTGGCGTTCAATAAGAGAACAGAATTGATTGGCTGATGGACGCGGGCGCTAGTCAGTTAGCGAATCAGAGCGCTTAATGGGCGTGGCTTGTGAATGTGGAATAAATAATGTGACTAGACGCTCCGGGAAGGTTACCAGGCAACGCCAGCATGAGAGATGAATTTACCATGAACGAAGCCCTCGCTATAGTAGGATATGGTCGTGTTTACTCTGCGTATAATGTAAAAGAGTCTGCATTCAGCATTTAAACGCTTGAAGTAAAAATATTTGTTGGTTGTTAGACAGCTGTAGCCTTACAAATCGCAATCAAGGCATTATTGACAATGATGAAAATGCAGTTTCAGAGAGGAACGCTGTGTGGGCGGAGTCATGACGTGGAGGATTTTTTAATTGAATGTAATTTTTGCATAATATAGCCTACATATAGCCTATACATATATATATATATATATGTGTGTGTGTGTGTATAAAAAAGAAGAGGAAGTAGTTGTCAACAATAAAGCCAAGTTGGAAGGTTAATCAGAGGAGGGATGTGACTTATGCACACTTGGCACATAAAGTACAGGCCAACAGAGGGAACAATCAAAATAACAACGGCTCCTAATTAAAATGAACCTGAACTTCATCTGGCCTTTGCACTGACGGCCCGACTATTGCTCTAATCAGCAGTGTTGCTTAAATATGTCAAAGAACAACAAAAGGTGGATATGACCTCTGACTTGGATATAGTAGCCTATTTGATGCAATAACCCATTACATATACAATGGGCTTGTTCTTTAGTGTTAGCTAATATCTTGACGTCATGTACTTGACGTACATATGAGTTAAGTAATTTTCAGAAACTGGTCAGCTATGTTGACTGCTTCATCACAACACCTGTGAATGTTTGTGTGTAAGAAAATGTGGGGGAAATATTTGCTGCTGATAACACTTATGAGTATTTCCAGTCGCAGCGTGAAGGTAGTCACTCCCAAACATGGTTGAGCTGTGAGGTAAATAGACAGAAACCTGAAAAACCAGTTAGAGAGAGAGAGAGAGAGAGAGAGAGAGAGAGAGAGAGAGAGAGAGAGAGAGAGAGAGAGAGAGAGAGAGAGAGTGTGTGTGTGTGTGTGTGTGAGAGAGAGTCAGTGGGTCAGTAGTAGACAAATCTGAATATGCCAAAAGAAAAGTCATGACAATACATATTCATTACAAAAAAAGTCAGAGGAATGTAGCTTGACTTTTGTCTAATTACTAAATGACTAATTACTCATTCCTCTGACTAACCAGAGATTAAACAAAAGGTGCATTGTTGTTGATATTATTATTATGTGTTTTTCTGAGTTTGTGATTTTTCTGAAATATATGATAACAATTATGGCATTTGACCTCAAAAAACAAAACAATAAAAACCTCCAGTGACCCCAGCAGGTCTAATTGTTGATAGCGCCACCTACTGGTCAAACGTTACACAGCTAAAACAATGGCAAATCTACTCTCAACTGTATTCTGTGGCCAAATAAATCTCATCATTATGCCTGCCATTGTACAACTGTACATTAGTCTATGTAAAGTTAGTCATAAACATAGATTAAATAATTAAATAAAACTAAACCTAAAAAAATGGTCTAATTCACAGCCAATTAAACCACTTGCAAATCATTCACTGTTAACACACCAAACACACTGACATTTATTACGCAATGTAGGCCTAAATCATAATAAGTGCAGATATCCATACTCTTGTTTTTTTATTCTGGTTTCCCTTGCAAATCTCCATTTGTACTACTATTTTTGTCTCTCACCTTATATGTTTCCTCTTGCTATTTGCGGGCTGATTCTGGTCAAGCATAATGTTTTCTCTACGGTGTAAATGCTGACAACCGACGGTCTTGGCCGGAGAAAGCTGAATGTGCTCGTCTGAATTACAGCAGTATTAGATTATGCAGCAAGTATGCTTATGAAGACCAGCTGTTTCTACACACTCCAGCACACACACACACACACACACACACACGCGCACACACACACACACACGCAGCATTCATGCCGAAAGCAGAAATGCATGCTATTATAACTCAAAAATCATCAAACCTGCGAAGAAACAGTGTTAACAGACCTTTGGAGAACATGCACATCACTGTTTTTACTCCAGATTCAATATCTATAACTGTGCAGATATTGAGTTCAGAAATCATACATCATTTAAACAGCATCAGTCCTGCCTCCTCAGATTAAACTGGTCCTGTAAGGCTAAAAAAAGTCAATACTTGTACAGCAGAGTTGCTTGTGTTTGCTGCAGATCTGTGAGGGAAGTGCCTGGAGTTGTGTAATGTGTGTTGTGTTGCTCTACTGGAACTCTTAAAGGGAAATCAAATAAAAAAGAGGACAAAGGATCAGAGAAACAGGAGACTTCACGCTTTCCTGGAAGCTGAAGATGTAAAGCTGATGTTGGACTGTTTGACAAGAGGAGAACATGTGTGAGTCAGAGAGCAGCTGTGTGTTTGCCACACACACACACACACACACACACACACACACACACACACACACACACACACACACACACGGGTGGTTTATACAGGCCAGGAGGAAGTAACACATCAAGAGAAATCCCAAAATCCCCACAGAACAAAACTAATTGATTATATAACAAAGAAAAATGATAATAGTGAGAAAGATGGAGACCAGTGACATTGAGAGAATATAGAAAGATGTATGGAAAGCCCATTTTCATTCATTCATTCATTTTTTGCTAAATCATCATGACCTTAAAAGGCGTAGCTATGAAATAAAAGTCGGAATTATGAGATAAAAAGACGCAATTGTGACACAAAAAGTTTAAATTATAAGTTAACATCATAATCATTAATTTTACGTCAAATTATAACATATTGCATCATAATGATGAGATAAAAAGTCAAAATTAGGAGATAAAAGTCATAAGTGACAAAGTTGAAATTAAGACAAAAAGTAAAAAAAATAATGTCACAATTATATGACATTATATCAAAACATGGAATGAAAAGTCAAAATGACGACAAAGTCAAAAATATAAGAGTTATATAAGATATAGAAAACATTTTAACTGCATAATTATGGCTATAACAAAATAATTGACATTCAAGTTATAAATTATACATTTAAGAGAAAAAAAGATTATGAAAATTATGAAAAAATACACAATAAATGTTTGTCAAAATTTACATCAAAATATGGGATGAAAAGTCCAAATTACGACAAGTCAAAAATATAAGATTTATATATATAAAACGTTTTGGTAACACTTTACAATACGGTTCATTAGTTAACATGAACTAAGAATAAACAATACTTCTTCAGCATTTAATAATATAAGTTAATATTAGTTTCAACATTTACTAACACGTTATTAAAATCAAAGGTTGTATTTGTTAACATTAGTTAAAGCACTGTGAACTAACATGAACAAACAATGAACAGCTGTATTTTTATTAACTAACATTAACAAAGATGAATAAATACTGTAACAAATGTATTGCTCATTGTTAGTTCATACATTAACTAATGTAACCATTGAACCTTATTGTAAAGTTTAAACAACAATTTAACTGCATAATAATAGCTATAACAAAATAATTTAGATTAAAGTTATAAATGATAAAGTTAAGAGAAAAAAGATTATGAAAATTATGAAAAAATACACAATTAATTTCTCTGTCAAAATTATGAGATAAAAAGATGAGATACAAAGTCAAGATGATGACTGAATGACTTTCAAGTTGAAATTCTAAGGTCGTAGTTATGAATATTTGTTGTCCTCTTTATCTCATAATTGACTTCTTCTTAAGGATCTTTAAACATCCAAGAATAAAATGGGATTCTCTCATTCAGACATGGCCGAAGATCCCCACTAAACAACACTTTCCTCTCAGTAAGGATGTGAAGCATCATCATATTCCCGAGGCGGGGCGCGGTCACGAGGATTTGAACACCGCCACTGTAAACACTGATGTCACATCCGGAAAATCAGCATAGCGTGGCAGAAATATTTGGCAGCTAAACCCTTTCCTGCACAGCTGTCAGCATCATCACTGGCTAAATATTTACCTAAAGTTGTCAGCACTGCACTACAGTGAAGTGTTCGTCCTCAGTGTTTACTAGGCTGTAATTCTCCTCTTGTCCTCTTGGCGGCGATGCACACCATAATATTGTTCTAAGGGGAAAAAAAAGCACAAACAACAATTTCAATCATATTCATCAGTAGTTAACAAGGGTGATGATTCAATGTTTGATGAAGTCAACATGAATCATAATGGCCAGAATTAAAGAAAAGGGCAGTTTAGCCACTCTTTTGCATACTACACAAATTCAAACAAATGTATAAGGTGTGGCGCCCTCTTATGGTTAATATGAAATGTAAATACCTTGAAGTCGTGCAGTATGAATGTCAAGAAGGCTTCATTCACGACGTTTCCCCTTTAAACTGATATAAAATTAGGTAGCCTAGCTATAAAACACCTGTAGTCCTGTTGATAAAAGTTCTTGTCTTATTTGTCATATTTAACTAGCCTATTTATGTATTTTAAATAAGCTAAACAAAATATAATCTCTCAAAGCATTTAGTCACAAATTACACCTGATTATTTTCTATAATGCTAAATACAAATAAAACGTGGATGTTTAAGTCATTTCAACTTAAATTACATTAAAACTGACTTTAGTTGAATATTTGATAACTTATATAAAAGTTATTTTGATGAGTTAAAGCAATGTAAAAAATATGTTGTCATAACTTATTGATTATTTATAAATTTTTCTTACCCCTTTTGCAGATAATTTAGCTTTTTTTAAGGGCAAAAAATATATATAAGCATCCTCACTTAATTTTTATTAATTCCCCCGGAAAACAAGACATAATATCTTGTGTCATTTTATCTAGTAAATGCGTCTTGATTTAAGAATTTTTTGTATTTTTGTCTTGTTTCCAGTCCA